TAGTAAATGGTGCGTTTTGAAGTGAAACTCAGCGAGACTTCACAGATTTTATTAAGTAAATTTCGTTATAACGTACTGCGAAGGAAGTAGGTCGATCCAGGCAGTAAACGCCGAGAACCAGAATTTTGAATAATAAAATAACGATAAATTATGTGAAATTTCACTTTTATTAAACTTGCGGTTGAAGATGTCAGCAATTGCGACTTCATAGGTTTTGAAGAGTAAATGGTGCTCTATCAGATAGTGAAAATCTAGTCGATTTCAGAGATGTTCGCCGAAAACCAGAATTCTAAAAAATTTCGCCATTTTAGCGTGTTTAATGATAGCTGACAGTCAAACGCATATAAATGGATGGAAGTGTGTGATGTTGCGACTTCATAGGTTCTGTAGAGTAAGGTTTGCCTTATCAGAATATATCTAAGCCGTTCCGATCCACTGAAAAAGCGCCGAGATCCAAAGTCTTGAATAAGCAGGTAAAAAGCCTTTTTGAAATTCCACAGCTCATAGCATCTTAAGAAATGTATGAATCATGTTGCTACTCCATAGGTTAGATTCTTCTCATCAGGAGTTTTCAGATGATATATAACACGTGGGGGCTTAGGGCCTCCTACGACTTATGCCCGGGAGGGGAGACTTTTCATCACAAACTCTCCACTGGCGGCCTCCATCCAATACATTAAAGTGGGCTGGGGAGAAGCTTTGTAAAGAAAAGTCTCCCCTCCCGGGCATGAGTCGCAGGAGGAGTAATTTTTTAGAATTCTGGTTTTCGGCGAACATCTCTCAAATCGACTCGATTTTTTCACTATCTGATAGAGCACCATTTACGCTTCAGAACCTATGAAGTCGCAATTGCTAACATCTTCAACCGCAAGATTTATAAAAGTGAAATTTCGCATAATTTATCGTTATTTTATTATTTAAAATTCTGGTTCTCGGCGGTTACTGCCTAGATCGACCTACTTCCTTCGCAATACGTTATAACGAAATTTATTAATAATATCTGTGAAGTCTCGCTGAGTTTCACTGCAAAACACACCAATTACTAAACAAGTTTATTTTAAATGTATATGCCGCCGTATACATAAAAATATGCTTTCGGTAATCTTTTTTTGCGTTTGTTTTGCATATTTTCCTCGCACTGGCGGCAGCGACCTGGAAGAATAGGCTCAGTCGACGTTAACGCTCCCTCTCCCCTCCCCCCCCCCCCCCCCGTCGACGTTTTGGGAGGTGAGTGTCCGGCACTACCACCTTCATTTCTGGCCGGCCAGTAGTAGCTGGGAGCACCTTCACTTTTGATGAACCCGGCTCCCCCCCCCCCCATCGCACCTCTGGTACACATGGGAAAAATCTCGTGCAATAGTCAAAACTATTAGGTTGATGTATAATTCCTGCACCAAAATAGGTACAGACCGCAATAACTCGGAATAATACTATATCCCAAGTAGGATTCGATAAATCATTAGATAGCGCAAACCTAGCTCTACAAGATAGTGCTCGAATATCTACACCAGCTTTGATCCACGCGAAGTTTTGAGTCGAATGAAAAAAACCATGCTTCCGAAAATCTTAAGACCAATTTTAAAAAAATTGCAACTTCGTTCAAAAAGCTTCTACAAAATTTCTTTCTTGCTCACGCGTAGACATTCCACGTAAGACATCTATCTATGCGGTTTCTGTATTTTTTTCTCACAAGGGAAGTACCGTTGGTCGAAGTGGGCTTTCCATATGTGATGTGTATCATTCTACTGCTCTTCGACAACTAACACCAACCTGTGCTCCGTAGCTGCTCAATGATCCTTTGAGGAAAGTTATGAGCGATCGACTCCTCAGGATGCCCCTCACTGCTCACGTTATGACTGCGCCGCCAAATACTGTACATGCATGGACGGATGGCCGAGTGGAGAGCTGCGGAGACTATGGAACAGGTGCTCGAGAGTTCGAATCCTCTGGGCAACCGACATTTTTGCATTTTTGCAAATTGTTCGGAACGTATCCCTAGAGGCTTCAAAAGACAAAGAATCGCCCCTAATGACTTATTCATAAAAAGATTAGGAAGAAAAACCGCAAAATTACACAGGATCTTGGTTTAAGCAATGTCGGTGGATCAAGAAGATCAAATACTTGTAAAACACGTTAGGCCCCCATATAAATAGCTCATGGAAAGCTTCTTGAATCATTTTTGACTATGTTTTCATCTCAAGCGACAGTAAGCTACCTGGCTAAAGAGTTCGGCGTCTGCGAACTTGTGCGCCAACCTACTCGGAAGGAGCATAAGCTCATAGAGAGCTTTTCCTCAATTTTGAAAGAAGCGGTGTACGACAATTTGGAGGTCGAATTTGAAGAGGATGAAGCTCTTGAAGATCGTGAAGCAGACCCACTGTGGTCAGGAGATGGTGATGAGATTCTACAACCAACAAGATCGGGAGCGCTTCGGTTCGGGAATCAAAAAAAGGGAATTCAATCCTGAAAATTTTATCGCTGATATACACACAATTCTGCTCCCCCAGGTTCGAAAATTTTCTTTCTTATTCGTGGTACGCCGCGGGTTACCTCCCACCCATCCCGAAAAATTTGAAAGCCCCATTCAATACTGTTTCTCATCTAATTTGCTGGGAAATTGTGAATTTAGTGAGTGTAGGCAAATGTTCTTTATCAGATGTGCTCTTTGCGAAAAATTACTATGTTTTGATCATTTTGTTATTTACTACCACACATGTTAAATATTCAGTTTGAAAGAAGAAAATGTTTTGAGAAAGCTTGAAATTGCTCTAACGTATTGAACACGCCATTAGGGGCGATTCTTTGCCTTTTGAAGCCTCTAGGGATACATCCCGAACAATTTGCAAAAATGCAAAAGTGTCGGTTGCCCAAAGGATTCGAACTCTCGAGCACCTGTTCCCTAGTCTCCGCAGACTCGCCACTCGGCCATCCGTCCACGCATGTACAGTATTTGGCGGCGCAGTCATAACGTGACCAGTGAGGGGCATCCTGAGGAGTCGATCGCTCATAACCTTCCTCAAAGGATCATTGAGCAGCTACGAAGCACAGGTTGGTGTTAGTTGTCGAAGAGCAGTAGAATGATACACATCACATATGGAAAGCCCACTTCGACCAACGGTACTTCCCTTGTCAGCTAGACGACGAGAAAACGAAGTTTTTTATGTTTTTGCCAAATTAGTGCTGAGATGTTCTAGCACTAACAGTTGTATAGTACATGTCATCATCAATGAAACTCTACATTTTCAGCCTTCTAGTACAGCTAGTTCACGATAAATGACGAATCTAGCTCTCTTTTCGAATTCTTCTTGAATAGTTGCCAAAAATTCGATATTTCTCGTAAACCAGCTGCTTTAAAAAGCTGAAAATTCACATTTACGCTTCTAAGGTCCTATAGTATACAATTGTCAGTGCCAGAACATCTCAGCATTGTTTTGGAAAAAACGTGAAAAACTTCGTTTTCTCAATTTTTAGCTGAGAGAAAAATACAGCAACTGCATAGAGAAATGTCTTATAGAAATGACAATGCATGAGCAAGCTAGAAATTTTGAAGGATTTTTCTGAGCTGAATTCCAATTTTTTCTTGGTTTTTTGGGGCGCTTGGATCTTTATGGTTTTTGGCTTTGATCTTCGCTTGGATGAAAGCTGCCGCAAAACTTTAGGCAATATCTCGTAGAGCTAGGTTTGCTCTATCTAATGATTTATCGAATCCTACTTGGGATATAAGATTATTGCGAGTTATTGCGGTCTGTACCTATTTTGGTGCAGGGAATTATGCATCAACCTAATACTTGCCAATATCTGTAAAGAAGTAGTGCTATGCCACACATAGAAAGGATGTAAGAGACAATGTGAAAATGGAATATCAACGCTGGAGGAGAGATGTTCTGAACAAAACTGAGAGTCTGACCCTGGACTAGAAAACCACCAAATGATACACTGCCTTGAAAATCAACACCTATTAACACAATGTCCACAATCAATAAATATCTCCAACCCCTTCCCAGTTTCATACAAGAGACATGATGGTGCTTGATTTCATCTCAGTGAATCAGTCAAAGTGGAGACAGAAAACCACCTTGCTCATGCGCAATGCTCACCTCTATTATAGCATACAGCCTAACTGTGCCTTTCTCATTTTTCTGACAGATGAGTGTAGGCCAACTCTATGTAGGGATCGTCGACGGGCAGATCATATTCGGTTTTCTCAGACTACTCCCTGTTATATGTCGAAAGAGACAAATTTGTTGATTTTTTAGAAGAGGATTTGCTAAATTCCAAAACGCTTGACTCGGCAGCATCGTGCTTGCATCAGAACGAGCTTGGCTCTGAGTGGCTGATGCGTAAGGGGCCGGGCATACTTCACGCGATTTCAGTCGCGACGCGATTTGGCAATATTCCAACTGTCCGTAACTCATTATAAGCGCAATTTGAATGTACACACCATGCATGTGCAGTTTGCTAGTGTTGCATCTGAAGAGTTCTGGCGAATTGCCAAATCGCGTCGCGACTGAAATCGCGTGAAGTATGCCCGGCCCTTAAAATCAAACACTGCATTTGCAGCGTTTGCAAACATGTTGCTACCTGTGGCCGTTTCATCATTAATACCTTGAGGTAAATTCTACCTCCAGGTAGTTTTATCACTCATCATCAGCAAAATTACACTGAGAATTTACCTCAAGATACTTTGTGAATACGGGTACTTGCTGATAATGAGTGATAAAACTACCTGGAGGTAGAACTTACCTCAAGCTATCAATAATGAATACAACCACTGGTTGCCTTTTGAGATCGTTCAGATTAGGGCTACCCAGGATCGGGAACAAGCTAGCTTTTAGGGCTCGATGAGTTCCTCTTAACTCCGTTGAAACCACGCTTTCTTTGACCCTCCCATATAATATCGGATCCAGTTCGAAGTTTTAAAATGAGTAAGAGACACAACCCAGATAATGAAAAAAATAGCCAAAAATTTTTATTCCTTCGGCAACTCCAACACCATTTTGTCAAGACGCATAAGTCGTTAAAAATGTGACACGATATCTGACAGAGCGATTCCAGTCGAAGGCAAAAATGATTGTGCGGCAATGCAGACTTCTTCCAACTGGAAAATGGATTACGCGAGAAAAGCCTCCATACTGAAAAGTTGGAAGATTAAGACAACTTTCTAGTATTCTTGTTTCAAGCCAACTCAGCTGACCGGAAAAAGCCCTCTGTGCAACAGAGTTGACTCTGAGTAACGTGGCTTAGCTTTAGTACACTTTCTCACTGTTGGAGAGGCGTTGTGGCGTTGTTCAATGAGTTTGTTGTTCATTTAAGAAATCATGACAAACTGTCTGAGCAGGCTTGAAATCCCAAATCTGCAAAGTTTATTAGTCGGCATAATGGACTGATATTGACCTGGGCAATATCAAGTAGCAGATAATATCAGCTTAACGTGTGGCAGAAATTCCAGAAATGAAAAATACAATGATGAAGATGCATGCGCCAGACTGCTGCCATGGGTTGGCATTGAAAGCATTAAGTTTTTTCTTGAGATCCATGCTCTATGTTTGGAATGTCAGAAGCTCTGACTACTTTATTTTTATCAACTACACAGATTTTGGCGTCATCATGTTGGCTTAGGTTCTTCTCGCGTGCTTTACCTCAGAGTTTCCTTATCTCTTGAGCGCTCCTCTTGTGTCATCCGTGTTCTGCTGTAAATTTGGTCGTGACCGTTCCGTAGCCTCGGGGCATTCCTTACTTAGTGCTTTGGACGAACTTTGGATGGACGAAGCGCTGCTAAGGTAAAACACAATTTATGGGCTTTTTCCTGAGGCGGAGGAGGCAGCATATCTCTTGGAGCGGGCTCATACCTCGAGTATATTGAGGATGTGTTTGAGACTTTTGCTTCAGTATGTTTTTGCTTCTTAGGCCTAAGGCATACGTCCAGCGATCCCGTCGCTACGATTAGCTGCGACTAAACTGCCTGGACTGTCGTGTAATTCGCTCATTGTTTGATTACCGGACATACCCAAAGCGATTTCGTAGACGATCACACACCATTCTGCGTTATACGCACTTTTGGAAAAACTACGCTAGCGTCTGAAGTGCATCTACTTGAGGAAATTCGAATAGAATGTGCCGCCAATGCTGTCAAAGAGCATTACATTGAACGAGGAAGGATATGGATTCACATATAGACATGGATTCAATCCTAGTATCAACCAAAGTTTTTCTATCGGCGCAAGCAGCATCTGCGATGAAATCGACTACAGTTTGAATAAAATTTTGAATTCATTCTTTCAGTCATTGGTAGGCATATACGTTAGCTTCACTAGCGTTAGCGTTAGCTAACGGCAGTGAAGCTAACGTATATGCACTCCACTGGCACTTAATCCTCATACATGAGGGGAACGCGAATGTGGCGGCTCGGAAAAAAGAGACGACGTCACTATCGATAGAATATGTGCATGGGGAGCGAGCGCGTCCCAGGAGCATCTCGGGGTCGCGAAAGGCCTGAGGGGACAGTTCCATGGTCCATACCCAGACGAAATCCTTGATCGACACGAGCAGTTTGCCGAATCCGCGCATGTCCAACTGGACATTAATCGCGTACTGGTCGAGTGTGATGCATTGCCTCAATGTCGGGGCCAGGGATAAAAAAATCTTTGCCTCTAAAATGAGTGACTGCCCTCTGTTTGTAGCTACTACCTGGTAGAGGACTGGACGGTGACCTTGGATTGCTGAGGTGCCGTAGGCAGCATAGACTGCTTGCCTAACGGTATTTGCGGGCGCCTATTTTCAATACGGGTGAAGACTCTAGACAGGAGTTTGTTTTTGTTGGCACTGGCTTCCTGACGAAAGCGAATGGCAGCTTCTAACGTTTGAAGCTCTATGAATGGGATGCGTTCCGCTCTGCCTACACGACGAACGTCGACGAATGGAAACAGTGATGGTGAATCGATATCCTGAGATACCCGGATGTGGGATTATGGCGATAGTCTTCGATTGGTAATTTATTGGTGACGTTGTGATCGGTGAGAGACGCAAAACGTAGTTCGCGTGCACGGACCAATGGAGCCCAAGGGTGAGGTTGATGAGCTCGTGGTAGAAATTGAGTGGGGTTTCCCTGGGGATTTGAGGTATAACTCGAGGGATTGTGGGGCGGGTACTCAGACAATCGCCGGGGGCAGGCGGGCACCGGAAAAATAGATTGCTGATCTCTCGCACCCCACTCGCGGATTTTTTGGAAAGCAATCAGGACTTTTCGGAAGACCGCTTGCTGAGTTCTCGATTCCTCAGAGATTCAGCAATATATTTGCAAAAGATAAGAGCGAAAAAAAATTCAACAGGCGGTCTCTCAAAAATCCGCTGGCTCAGCAAGCGGTCTTCCGAAAAGCCCTGATTGCTTTGCAAAAAATCCGCGAGCGGGGTGCGAGAAATCAGCAATCTATTTTTCCGGTGCCCGCCTGCCCCCAGCGATTGTCTGAGTAGGTACGAGGTGCCAGACAGAGTGTGCACAGTGGTTATCAACCGGGCTAAGTTCCAAGGAAGTAGTGAAAAAGCTAGAGCAAAGAAAATACTGAAGTGTAGTTGCTTGAGAATGTAGAAAGAAAGAAAAAACTTCTAAAAAATGTAGAAAAACCGTTCAAACGAGAAGAAATAACCTGACGATGTGAGTTAAAACTTATTTCGGATGGGGACGCGAACACGCGTAAATTTAGTGATTATCATTAAACATGACGAAGGAGATGACAAAAAAGACAAAAAAAAAGAATTTTTCCTACTTAAATGAAAGAAAGTGAATTAAGCGACTGCAGCAAGGCTAACATTCCAAAAATGATTGGAGGGAAACAGACGAAAATCTTCTTATTGTAATAAAACAATAAAAATGAATGAAAATCACCATATTGGAACTGGCGGCCTGCGCAGACGACGAGTGCGAGGATGGCGTGCTTTATCAAGCTTGCGATCAGGCCGGCTCATGCTAGAGCTGGATCGATTGAAAAAAGACTTGCATGCGAGGATGTACTTGATGAAAAAAATCTATAGCTTACTCGAATACTAATCACGCCGAACTCTATGTGCAACTGCTAAGGAAAAAAGGAGAATGCGAACCAATACGTGGGCTTTTGAACCGAATTCTTAAAAATGCAAAAAAAACATGTTTTATAACCCAGATTCATTACTCTGGGCGCTTTTCAAATAAACTTAAAGGTGAACGTTGATGCCCCTCTCGACCGCAATTGACCATGGCCCACAACAACAATGCAAAAAAGGGTTCGCAATTTGGCACTTCTGTCCCTGCAGGGGAATCCTCTTTTCTCTTACTCTTTTCATTATCTTCATCTACTGAATTGTATATTCTCTCTTTAGCCTGGGCTTACACAAAACTGGGGCTGCTGGGTTTTTCTCTCTTTCTTTAAATTATGTCGACATTCTTTACTTCTCAATAGTACGCTACTATCTTTGCTAGCGCTAATTTTCGTTTGAAGAGTCATGACTTTCATTCCAAGCAAAAAAAACCGTCGTTGTGCATCAGGATGTCATCATTAATTTACCCAGAGAACTTGAGTTTTCGGGGGACCTGGATCCGTAGTCACATCAAAACTCCAAATACTGGGAAAAAACTTGAAAAGCGGTTTTGCTCTTTGGCTGCCAGCCATTTTTATTTCCGGTGGGGAACCCAACAAGGTTAACACCTGGAATGAACCGGACCTATCTTCCGTGAATTGAAACCACTCAGCTGATATCAGTAAACGTAGCGTTGTGGAAACGGCTTACTTATAGCAGTGGATCAGGAGAATGGGCCCTTCTCAATTCTGATGGATTTAGTTAGTAGACCCCCCAGGTACCATTTGATTCAACTGGCTTGGCATCGGCAAAGGCGGGTCTTCGTGGCTGCACGTCAGGAGGTACGCCGCGCGCGGCGGCCGCTCTTCCGCCCATGCCGCGTTCAAACTTGGGGCCTCCAAAACTCTCCACCAATGGAGATTCCCGGCGGAAAAAACATGGGGAGGGGGGGGGGGTGAGGGTGGGGGTAGATACATGACTTAATGCTATAAGTAGGTAAGACTGCGCCAGGAGCGCTGGTGTTGTACGGGCTCAAGTACGTTGCGGCGTCGCTTCGCGAAAAATTCGCGCCGACCGTACCTCTTGACCGTCCCCGGGCTTCGTGACCTAATTAAGGCTAGGTCATGATCAGAGAGCACTCGCGCGAGGGAAACGCAGGTGCGTCGCGGGCGCGAGCGGCCTCAATTAGATTATAAAACCCCGCCCTAATAGTGCCAAGCCAGTTGAATCAAATGTTACACTGTAGCCCAAACCCTACCTGCCATCTCATGTGCTAAGTCCTGAAAAATGCGCTTCAAAACTCCACCAGCCCCGCCCACTCAATGGAAATAGGCGGGGCTGGTGGAGTTGCGCATTTTTCAGGACTTAACGCATGAATTGCCAGCTGGGGTTTGGATTACAGTGTACTCGGGGGGGGGGGGGTCTACTACCTAAATCCACCAAAATCCGAGAAGGGCCCATTCTCCTGATCCACTGCCTTTAACGGTAGCAATACGGTGGGATAGCATCTTTATTGGAAGAACAAGTTGTACTGCAATACGAAGTGGTTTTTTGATAAGATAACATGAGAGAATCAAAGATAACATGAGAGAATCATCATGAGGTTCAATAGGGCGGCATCAGCCGCTTGGTAGCCGAACGATCTCTTCAATGAACCCTCTCCTTCAGCTTGTGGTTCTCGTTGACCACGCCCTAAACAAATGACTCATAATATCGCGTCGTGGACGATTTACAATCTCCTACCGATCCCGATCTCTTACACTACGCCACCACGTTGAAGGCAACGTCCACCCCGGGAGGGCAGTGCCGTCTAGGGGTCCTCGTGCATCTTCGTTATACCGAAGCGATTTTCTCGCTTTTGAAGCGACATTTTGTGCCGCGACTTGGGCATTGGCTCGATAGAGGGCCCTACTATCATAAGTTGTCAAAGGCTTAAGACCTTCAATTTAGAGTGGAAGGTGCCTTTAGGGGCAGTGTCCGGGAAATAACTCGAATTTGAGATTCTTGCTTAACTGGGCCTATCTGCTATCCTGAATCCGAAAATCCACGCTGGAGAGCGCGGAAACGGCGAAAAAAAAATGCTCTAACGGACGGAGTCTTCCCACTGTGGATTCATGGTCCCAGCTTCCGAAGCATCTTCTCGATTTTTTTTTCGAGTAACGCGTGCGCACTTGGCCGATGGAGATGTCAAGTCGGCTAACCGAATTGAGAAGATTGTTCCAGAAGCTGGGAGCGTGAAGTCAAAGGCTGTGTACGGACAAAAAGCGATTTCGAGATTTTCTGCAACCGGGCCTATTTGCTATGCTGAATCCGAAGATCCACACCGAAGAGCGCGAAATTGGTGAAAAAGGGCATTCAAAAGGGAATCAGTGGGGGAAGGGGGGTCTTCTCCACTGCGAATTCACGATACTAGCTTCCGGAGCAATCTTATGGGTTCCAATTTCAAGTCAAGCATTAGCACTTGGAGATGTCAGGGAGGCTAGCCGAATGTGGGGAAAACCCCGTTCACTTTTGTCCCCTGCATTAGAGCCCTTTTTTGCCCTTTTCGCGCTTTTCAGTGTGGATTTTCGGATTCAACATGGCGAAGAGGCCCGGGTAAGCACAAAATCTCAAAATCGAGTTTTTGCCCGGACACTGCCTTCAAGGCACCGTCCACACAAATTTTCAGCCTCCATGTTTTTGTTGTTTCGGGGCCTTCTCATGTCCCTGATTCCGAATATCAAGTCGAGAACCCGCGAAAACCCCGACAAACCCCGTTTCGAAGAACCCGCGGGCGAGTTGTGCAGCAGGTGATTGGTTAGGTGCGCACAAATGCTCGCTCAAAGGGTAGGAGTCAACGTAGCGAATCCGTCATCCAAGGCAATTTTTGAATCAATTTTCTCGCTTCGGAAGCAACCTCTGGCAGCGCGAGTTGGGCAAGTATACTACAGCTGGAGGCTACACTACTGTTAGGCATCAAAATCTCATCCACCGTCTTGATTGGATGGTGCCTTCAACACATTGACGACCATGCAGATTTTTAGTTGTCTGCCTTTTCGGACCAAAGTCATTTTACGGACCAGCCTCCTTTTTTAACTATAATCACGCATATTGCCATCTACAGTACATCTATAGTAGATCTGAATGAAAAAAAGTAGAAGTTATCCCTAGATTCTGTGCAAAAGGAAGCTCATAAAGTGAGCTTATTTTAGGATAAGTCAGGCGGTGTCCGGACTAAATTTGGGGGTTTTGGAATTTCACTGTCGCAAAGGTGGCCGTTTTGAAAGGCACGAAATTTGGGGATTGTTGCCTTCCACACCACACCCTCGCCCTGACATAACCACCAGCCTAATGGTGGCCACATTTCGTGGAATCGGAAGCTACAAAAATGCTCCGGAAGTGGGAGAGTTACGCCACGATTGGAGCCACCGAAGGATGAGTCGATAAGCTAGAGTGCGTGTATGGCATACAGTCAAGACGTAGAGTTCCATAACGACTTGCGTCTTACGGCGGCAAACGTCCAAATTCAAAATCACGGGCTTCTGGAATAGCCCGTTTAAGCATTTCCGTAGTTCTGCAAGCTGCCGTCCAATTCAAAATCACGGGCTTCTGGAATAGCCCGTTTGAGCATTTCCGTAGTTCTGCAAGTTGCATGTTCGGAATCAGCGGGAAGGATAGGCAAAGGTAAAGGTTGTTTCAGACTGCCGCACTGACCGCAGCAGACTGCAGCAGACTGCAACTGACCACGGGGCCGCACAGATTGCTGCATCCTTTCGTGAAGGTGTAGAGGATAAACAGTTGTAGCTCAAACAGTCTCTTAACAATATATGCCCCAATAGACAACACAGCGGGAGTAAAATAGGTAAATGCAATGACAAAAGGAAGAGTAAGTTAGAACCTATGAACTTTCTAGGCGTAAATCACGGTGTTTTGATATATTCGCAACTGTTTTCTCTTTTACCAAAGGATGGAGCTATGTGCGGTCGTTGCGGTCAGTGCGGTCAGCTGCAGTCTGCTGCAGTCTACTGCAGTCTGCTGCGGTCAGTGCAGTCAGCTGCAGTGTGCAGTCAGTGCAGCAGTATGAAACAACCCTAAGCGAGAACAGTTTCGTTCGAAATTTTGCCCGGACACCTTTAAGTCAGTGTCTTGGGACTTCAGTGCTTTGCGAAAGCCTTCAGACATGTCACCGCGCAAGGGTGAGGCCATGACGTTTGACTACAGCAAGAAATATATTTGAAAGCTGAGAAACTAACGTTATGAGTTGGGGCTTTCCGCCTGTTTGAAATCCTGTTCTGCGGCAGAGCAGGTATGCCGCCACAGTTGAAGTTGTAGGGTCCGCTTCCCAATGCAAATGATCGAATTCAGCGTTGCGGATAACCCCAGGCAAGCGAATTTTCTATAAATTGAGTTCTTGCCTGGACACTGCCTTTGAATATCGCTATATTCCTTCTCTGCGGACAGATCTTAACCACTTGTACGGCTCATTTTCCTTATTGTTTTGCTCTCAGTGTATGACAAGGCAAAAATTGACAATGCGTATGCTTTTTACAAAACGCGAAACAGCTAACGTTCTTGCTATTGAACTTTTTCACCTTGCCATCCTTGACTCGGCGCAACTAGATACCACACTGTGAGTGTCCACACGCTGAGTTGACCCGCGCGTCCTCGGGCGTCGCTATTGATCGCCGCAACTGTAGGTGAGCTGGACCACCTTTTATGGGACAGCTGCGTCTTCTTCGTCTCTTCATCTGACATCACTTCATGCGAAGTGTCAGACAAACATTGCTTTAGGGCGCTAATAAATCCATGCATCATTTGTTCTGAGGAACTTTTGTCCAAGCACAAATTTTTTTTTATTTTCTGCACCTGTGCACAAAACAGCAAATGGAGCTGTCTGTGGAAGGAAAAATACCATACAGTCAGCCCAATCATGACTCTTCGTGCTCCACACCTAGGGTTGAGCTTACGTCATGGTGAACGCCTTTTCATCGGTTTTGCTTGTCTCACCAATTCTGTTTGAACTCCAATCACTTCATATCTTCTGTATTCGTCTATAACTCCCATATTCGGAAAAAGCAACCTCGTAGTTGTGGCCAACTACGTTAACATCATATGCACGTAGCATAAGGAACTGATTCCGCGTCACTGCTTGTTGTTTTTATTGCCACTGTATCCATAGCTTGAGAGAATCACAACATGACCAAACAGTTCTCACCAAGCTCAAACGTTTGCAGTAAGTCCCCTTCATTGAGAGGTGCAATTTTCAATTTGCAATTTTTGCTAACATTTTTTGAACGGAAATGTGACCGGAATTCTTTAATTGAGTTTGTTTTGACATTTGATATCACACTCGACTATGGATTAATCTTATTGTAGGAGGCTCTACCTTTTATTTTTTATCCCATTTCATTTTTGTCTTGAATTGTATAAAGCATTCCATGCAGAAACAAAAGAAATGGGAAATTCTATAAGTCGTAACAGCATATCAATTCAAAAAAGTATTTGGGCGTTTTCAATCTTTCTTTTTCTCACTTTTCATTCTGTTTGTCTTCGTCATCCTCAGGTTCAACACTAAAACTATTTCTCTATCAGTTCTTGTTTCAGAGTATTTAGAACCGACGTTTTTATGAATTAGAAATTATCATGTCACATACGCAGAATATGTATAAAGTAGGAGGTGAGTTTTTTGCTCGATTTTTTCACAGCATCTTGTTGGTTTTTGAAAACTTGATCATTATGTACATCAATAATAACCATGTTTGAGTCTGAGGCATGGTGCAAGTGGGATAACTTTTCTTGCGCCAAATAGCGTGCGAGAGCTTCAGTTGAATCCAATACTTTTATGAAGATAGACTTGCGGTTACCATTTAGTGTGTGTTTGGAGATAATATGCACCAGTTTTATATCAGCTGCATTGAAGTGATTTCTCACATACTGTCTTTTCGAAGGGAAGCGATTTATTCTCACACGCTTGGTTGTTTATATTTTTGAAGTAAGTTACATTCCCCAATGAGTTTGGAAGTTGTGTTCAGTCTCTCATTCAAAATTTCACTTCGGAAATGAGCAAAGCAAAGTTGTATATGAGAAACCCTTCTTAGTTTGAAATTGTGGCCAAGACTTGCTGTTGTCACCAAAACCTCCATAGCATGGACCGCTTCATCCAACGTTTCCTTTTTAGATTATGTTTACTTTGAAACTCCCGAGAACACCCCATATCAGATCCGTCGAATAGAAGATTTGAATAAAGTAAGTACAGTGTCTGATGTTTGTGATATGGCTGCAATATATTCACATCCAGACTCCGTCCGGTCAAGTAGAAGCTAGGGTAACTCTGTTTTACCGGCGTCGAGATATCTCCTCTGCCCTTCTGAAGATTGCTGATCAAGCTGAGAGGAGATTCGATGAGTGTGAGTCAGGTTTTTCATCCGTCTATATTATAACCTTATTGGCCTTCACCACTTTTTTCAGTCAGTTTTGTTTTGATTTTGATATTAAAGATGAGTGTGTGCGTTTGATTTTATTTCTTTTGCTTCTTTATCACAAACTATCCAATTTGTTTTGATCAGTTGTTTCTTGTACGCCATGAAGTTTCCTCAACAATCTTATAGAGTTACGCAGTTTTTATGCTAGCGTATGCCACTTGCAGATTATGAGGTAGACAAGCCTAAGTCTGATAACAAGTATGGTTCATCGGGACATACAGTGGCCAATGGAGCAGATGCCAAGATTGAGCTTAGTGAAGCAGGTATGCAATTGGACGATACTGCTAGTTTATGGTGGCGAATTTTTTTTCTTTCTAGCTCATAAGCATGAAGCCAAGGAAGATAGTGATGACTGCATCGATTGGGGCATAGCTGGTTTACCATTAGGCGTTGAAGCTCTCAGCGACGACGAGAGGCATCGAATGAGGTAACTGCTAATCTACATCATTTTATCTTGTTTTACCTGCTTCGTTAGTGAGTTTGGCCTTCTATTAAATCCTTCGCCATAATCTGGTAGTGCAAAGCGCTGAGCTTTCCTTGACGCTTACATATGGCAGTTGAGGCGCAAGTAAGCGCCCAGATCCACAACATTTGTGAAATTTTGATAGTCTAGTAATTTTGTTCAGTTGTTTGAGAACATAAGCTGGTAAAGCAGCAAATTCACCCATTACATATCGACTAGAAAGTAGCAGCTGAGCAGCCCTATTCAACTTGGAATGCCGCCATCGTATGCAGCATTTTAGGACAGAGAATCACAGTTATTCAGAGAAATGGTTAGCAGTACCAGATGGTAACATATATTATTTTTCAGGCAGAGGGAACTATTTCTGTCCAGGCAAGTAGAAACCCTTCCAGCTACTCTAATCCGTGGAAAGTGCGCGGTCACGTTGCTTAGTGAAGTTGAGACAGTGTCGAGCTACGATGGAGAAGTATGTTTCCACTTCTTTATTGAATTTATTCAGTATACCTGTTTCTGCGCAGGACAAATTCTTCTACTCCCTCGTATATGATCCCAGTCAAATGACTTTGCTTGCGGACAAAGGCGCTATTCGTGTTGGTGAGAAGTATCAAGCTGAAGTTCCTGAGAGAATGGAATGCGATGACAAAACCGAAAATGGCGATGGGCAAGTACTTTATGAAATGAAAGAATATTGTTCATTATATTTGGTTCTAGCGATGAGCTAATGATCGACGATGAAGAGGAGCATAGTGATAGTCTACGACCAACAGTTCGACCTCCGACGGAAACCGAGAGGGAGGTGCTCGTTTATCATCCTCATCATTCGCTAACGGACAGGGATATGGACCAATTCTTAATCGTAGCCAGGTTTGTGCTTATTTCATTTGCAAACGCAGTGCTGGTTTGTAAATCTACACGTCAAACTTATCTTTCTTATCTGAAAAGCATCTTGGAGATCATGTGCAAGACACTTTACTTTCTCTTCTGCTATGTACGTTAACATTCTGCTCTGCAGCTTTTCTCGGAAGGCCCTACATGACTATTGATACATCAAATCTCCACAGTTCACATTGTTAACATGTCTGATAAGATGTTGTCTGCAAAGAATTTGACAAAGCCGCTTCTCGAATTTCCTCCAAATGTTACAGAGCAGTCGGAACCTTCTCACGTGCTTTGGATACTTCTTCATCCACGAAGTTGCCATCTCTTCACATGACTGCAGCAGCTGCATCTCGTGATGTTACCCTTCTTCATGCTATGGCTTTACTTCATCAGGCTGGATATGATATCGGCCAGGTTCTTATTAGTCTTTCCAATTACATACCAAGCTCAATATATGAAAATAAAAAGTTTTGCAGGCTGTGAAGTATCTCGTTCCTCCACCTAATAAAAGCTATTATCCGTTGGAGGCGGATAAAGCTACCGGTCATAATACTGTTAGTCTAGGAGGGCCTATTCTGTGCAGGTAATTGTACTTGGCATCTCCTACCACCATAATCGCGTCTGAGTAGGAGTGCTGCAGAAGAAAATGTTTTGACAATGAGTATGATGGGATTTCAGGGACCAGATCGAAGAATGGTCTGCAGCAGAGGCGAATCTTTTCGAGGATGCACTCGAAAAATACGGCAAAGACTTTTCTGATGTACGAGTCGATTTTGTGAGTACCATCTATAATACTTTCGATATTAAATGAGGTTTCTTTTGCTTGAATGAATCGTTCAGCTTCCATGGAAATCTCCTCGTGACATAGTTGAGTATTATTATATGTGGAAAACCACTAATCGTTATGTCGAGCAGAAAAAGAAGAAAAATGCAGAGCATGAGAGCAAACTCAAGCAGGTAGTCTGGATTTGCACCCGGTACATTCTCTTGATGTGTTTGTAGGTCTATATCCCAAATCACTCCAAAACACCCGGAACGTCTGTTAAAGGAAGTGAACCATGCGAAGGTTGCAAGGTGAGTCATTCGCTCGCAGTGCATCGTAGACTTAACGAAAATCTCGAACCTTGCATGAAATAGTGTTTTGAAAAGCGCAAGTTACTGCATGTAAAGTGTCAGCCAATGTGCTATCTTAGTGTATCTGTTTGCTAAACAAAGTGAAACGCTTTCTAGCAAACAGTAGTTTAGTAGCGAAAATTGTTTACAACATTTGATTGTTTCCACATTACAAAATCCGAACTTGATTCAGACCACAGAGAGCAGTGCGTGGCATGCTTGGGGTCCAACTAGCCTGCAACTGCGTCTCTGTCAAGAATGTTGGTGGTATTGGAAGAAGTACGGTGGCTTGAAAGAGCGGCATCAACACGGTTAGTTCATTTTCCTGTTCATGTATTATCCCCCACAATTCTGTGACGAGTGCGATTAATATACACTTTGAGCTCCATTTCAAGTTTGAATATTTTCACACCTTAGCATCCATTGTCTACTGTAATCGCGTTTCTCCAGCTGGAACTAATTTAAATGCAGCCTTTTTATGAAAAGCGTTCATGCAGTTGTAGGTTCCTTTCCATTTTAAATCGTCGTCGATGCTCGAGTTCGATCAGCTAAGTAGCTCCCAGTCTATGCTGGATTTTTAGAAATATTTGATGTCATTGCTTCTATTAATGAGGACGCTGCCTCAGATGTTCACGAAAACGCCAAACCTGCTTCAAGCCTGCCAAACCCACCAGCGGCTGGTAAAAGCTCCTCAGCAGCACAGGTGTCTTCTCTTCACCTTACAGCCCTGCATTAGACAATTTTTCACAAAATGATTTACAGCAAAATCGACCCATTGGTACTGGTCACGTGATTGCTCGATTACCTCCGAATCATCCTCTTCTGTTGGCTGCAACTTCTGGGTCCACATTGAATGTTGGTAATCCCATGAAAGGAAAGGTGAGACAAGGAGCGAAGCGTTTTGACATGAATTAGAAATCGTCCATGAATCCAAAATCGTCCTACTAGAGTGTTTGTAGCAGCTGAAGGCACCGTTCACCATGCGACCATCACTGATGTACAGAGTAGCGCGCAGAGTGTGCCCGAGATCGCTGCTGAATTTACGTTTCGCTGCAAGAAGGCCTACTCACGAAATCAACCTGAACAATGTGAAAAGCTACTGTAAGTATTTCTCACTTGATTTCGTTTTGCTTTTTTATGTTATTGAAATGTTAGTTGCTGCATCGCCTATGTTTCCATCTGCTTTGTGTCCTTAGATTTTCTTTTTTCTTCTGTTGGGTAGAGCCGTTAGTGAGAAGGAAATCCATGAGAATAATCTGTAAACACAAATATAACATGGAAATTCGTCTACCAGGTACGTCTTTCAGGCTACTCCTTAGAAGCAGGGAATGCTGTGCTCTCCGCGGCTACACAAATCTGCCAGCTCCATAATCGCAACTTGCCATCTACCTTCGCTCAGAATTATACACTGCAGGCGGTTTGTTCACTTATTTGTCATCGTTTTCAAATCCAGCTCTCCGTTCAATTCTAAATATCGAATTATTGACCTCATAGGCTCAACATCACCAACAGCAGCAACAGGCTCTTAAAAGGCCAGCTAGCTCTGCTGGCGTAGAGCCAAGCGCTAAACGCGAAAAATTGGTGAGTTGAATCATGTGTTGTGTGCTGTGTATTTCCTCTGTTGACTGGCGTAGTTACAGAAGCTTAACAACAGTGTAGGGGGCCTGATTATGCACTTTGCTGGAAGCAGTGTACGGGATCTTCTTTTAGGCCCGTATGCACGTACATCCCCGCGGGGAGGGGAGGGGATCTGAGAGGGGAAGCGTCATATCTCGCTAGTTTATGTATCTTTCTTCTTCTTTCTCTGTCTTGTTTTTGAAGGTTCTCATACACTGATACCTGCGCATAACGGATGCCAGGTTACTGCCATACAAGATTAGATATTCACAATTTCGTCTGATCCCCTGGGGATCCCCAGGGGATCACCTCACATTTTCAAAGTCATTTATCTCCCTGAAAACTCAATAAAACCCCTGCAAAATTGTACTGAAGATATACTACGATACTGCTGAGCATGTTTTCGACAGAAGAGATGGATTATGAAGATTTTGATTTTTTCGATAATCCCTGGCTCGCGAGCAGCGGTTCATCGAAAATTTTGATATCTTGAGATTTCACTCATTTCTACCATATACATGTTTAGCACTGCTGTAGTATATCGTCAGTACAATTTTACAGCACTTTCAGTGGATTTTCAGGAAGATAAATGACTTTGAAAATACGCGGGTGATCCCCTGGGGATCCCCAGGGGATCAGACGAAATAGTGAATATCTAATCTTGTATGGCAGTAACCTGGCATCCATTATGCGCAAGTATCAGTGTATGAGAACCTTCAAAAGCAAGACAGAGAAAGAAGAAGAATGATATATAAACTAGCGAGATATGACGCTTCCCCTCTCAGATTCCCCCCCCCCCCCCTCCCCGCGGGGATGTACGTGCATACGGGCCTTAGACTCTCAGCTGAGAGGAGTAGTGTGTAAATAATACTCTGTCTTGGGTGTGTAGCGAAATTAACACGCACTTAATTGATGTGAACAGCTTGCGGAAACATACCGTTAAGTTCTTCACAACTTGCGATGAGGGCGTTTGCTAGTTCGAGATGCATCAGCAATGCTTGCAGTATTCTCACTCATTTTGTTTGTTCAATTCCAAATCATTGGAACTCTGATAGAGGTTTTAAGTTCCAAGTGCTAAACTACAATAACATATTGTGTGACTGAGCTAGCACTGTTTCTTGATAATTGTAGAGCACTACAAGCACCTTATATGCGGAGTTTTTTATGGACAGCTACTTGCTTTGTAGAGTGCTTTTAAGTGATAGAATATGAAGCAGTACGTAATCGTAACTTGACGTGATTGTTTTCTGCTGTCAGACCCTTATGCTTTTTGTTGCTAACCGTTTTATGACATATACTGGTAGAAGAACATATGTGCGAGTCCGATTCGTTTTAGCAGGTAGGGTCAGTCGCGAATGCCGCAGTCGCAGCTGCTGTCAGCCCTTTCTCCTCCATTGCTGCTGTTGCTCCCACCGGTGTGCTAGCCCAGAAGCAAAGCAAGTGGGACTCGGTATGGCGGTGGCAGCCCGGAGGCCAGTTCGTGTTTCTCGCTGGACCGCTTTTCCGGTGCGTACGGCAACATTCGATCTAGCCATTTTTATCTCTCTGGTTTTGTTGCTTGAATGTTTATTCACAGTATCATCCAAATATGGCTGCTGGAGCTTTCAACAACGCGCACTAAACTATTTCATCACGCCTTGAAGAATCATAGCATTTTTTTATTTGCTGTGTTTGGATTCTGCGCGAACTCTGAGAAGCTCACAGTGGCAGCATTCTATCTAGCCTTTTTTATGCTGTACATGCGGGGTGAGAAAAAAATTGAGAATGATGTACACTTCACCACTGGTATTTCTAATTCACTTCAGTAGAAGTATTGCTTTGTTTCTATATATTGTAGTTGATAACTGTACAAAAAAACTCATCAAAAAGTGAGAAAGCTTATGATCTCTTGACAGTAACGTATGGTAAAGTAGATGAAAAGGCTAACGTAGATAAAATTGGTTTTTTTTTACCATGTCGCTCCATAATCCTCTGAATCATTCTTGTACAACAGCTGTTAATTTTGCTAGTCAGCTTTTATCTATTTCTGCTAGCCTTTATCTATCTTTAGAGACCCTAAAAGATAATGTTATGATTTAACACGTTGACGACGAGCCATTTTTTTGCGGTCTGTCCCTGAGGACGAGACGTTTCCATGCATGCCTACGCGTGGCCCATGTATGTATGCATACATCCATGCACGAAGTACAAAATGTGCAAGCCCCGCCCCCTCTGGCAAGCCTCCGCCCACTCGACCAAAATGTCGGAAGTTGCCCAAATTTTAAAAATTCATGCTATTTTCGCCACTTTTGAAAAGTGGGCGGAGCTTGCCTAACGGTGGGCGGGGCCTGGCTAGAAGCTGCTTGAATCTTTGCGTTCATCTACAGCCTCATCCATGCTTCTTGTGGACAAAAAGGATCCTTGTGAGAGGCATAAAAGTGGGCGGAGTTCGCCAAAAGGGGCGGGGCTAATAAATGAAGTACATCTGAGCCTATGTTGATTATATGAACAAAAACTGAGAGGATTGGACAGGTAGTATTGAATTTGAAACCGCCGCGCACATTGCGCGGCGTCGTCCACAGGGACAGACTGCCTGCCGCGCACCACTGCGCGGCACTGTCGTCAACGTGTTAAGTAAGTTTGCAAGGGAACAGAGGATTATCATGCATAACATCACTTCGGCGGCACAAGCAAATTTTATTTCTATCGAAGCTGCTCATTTTGTATAATCTTCCATTATTTTCCATTCATTTATTTCACTTTGATGTCGGGTCTAAGTACCCTACAGTCTGGGTAAGTTCGTTTTAAAAATGAGTACATACATCAAATCTTGTTACTTGCGTCAGAATTATGTTTGATACTCGAGAAATTGCATATCGAGAAATCATCCGCGAATATGGAAACATGGCAGAAATATTGGGTTGTTCCGAAAGTAATGTCGCTTTTTTCAAACGTACGCCACACCTCTTGGAACAAAGATGTGTAAGAGATTCTGGTAGCATTTTCTGGCAGCATTTCATACTCTTTCTAATGGTTATATAACCACTGCACAAAATTCAATAACCTCTTGAAAAATTATCAAAATCTTCGACCCATGCTTTTTGAAAAGGCCAAGTTTCACAATTTTTCTAAGTTTTCAACAACCCTCGGAAGGAGTCCAAGCTATGGATGGATAGAGCAAATCCTGCAGGAAACAGCATAACTTTTTTCTACTTTCCAAAGCTCGTCATACTTTTTGTTTGGTTTTTTTTTTGATGGAACCACCGAATTTTAGCATTCTCGCCTCAGACACAAACGCGTCAAACACCAATAAATCTTCGGATTTTGAAACATACAAAGATGGATTATGGTTTGACACTAATTTTACAAACCAAATAACGTTCACCGCTTCATATTAGCAACTTTCGAAATTTCCGGGTACAGCCTGGGGCGCCCTGGAAAACCTGAATTATGATGGTTTTATCCCGGAAAACTTGATGAATCGGAAATAAAAACAACTGGTAGAAAGAGGAGAAAAGTTGTTTCGAATGACACCAGAATTGATTGCCGGTTGTTGTTCTGTGAGGTTTGAGTTGACCAAATATGGAATTAAATGGCATTGAAAAATTGATTCTAGAACCTCTAAGGCCCCGGTCAGACTTCACGCGACTTAGTCGTCGCGATCTAATCGCCCAGATTTTCATTCATTTTCATTTCACATAAAAAATTGTCGGGCTGGAAAAGTATCACAACCGAACGCAACTTGATCGGCATGGAATGATCTTGTAACAGTTGTCTCGTCGCGACTCAGTCGCGACGATCAAATCGCGTGAAGTCTGCCCGGGGCCTAACGAGGGAAGTCACTTAACTTAGGTCGGCCTTTTGAAATGAGACACATATATTAAGAATCAGCTCGGAACGCTGATTCCAAATATGCTATCCCTAGCTGCGAAGCGTTTCTCTGAAGCGAGTTATGAGCTTTTTTAGTATGTGTCATGACATACAACTGAATATGGAAAGAAGGCCTTTAGATGAAAATCTGCCCAAAAAGTGGTGGAAAATCAAAATAACATCAAATTGAGTCATTTGGCTTTGATAGGGTATAACATGCATTTGAACCACTACCTAGATGATGATACCGTAGCATGCCTAAGTCGGCCAACACGCAGAATCTGCTCAGGAAAAAGCTCATAACTCGGTTCAGAGGAATGCTTCGCAGCTAAGGGAAGCAGATTTGAAATCAGCGTTTCAAGCTGATTCCAACCATATGTGTCTCATTTCAAAAGACCGACCTGAGTTAAGTGACTTCCCTTGTAAGAAGCAAGCTAAGAAAAAGAAAAAATAATAAACCTGTGTCCTAGAGGGATTGCTCTATCTAACTGTCACTTGTACTTCTTCAAAGAATATGCACAAAAAATTAGAAAAATAGCCGAACTTCACCATGGCAAAAAGCATGAGTTGCAGATTTTGGTATTTTCTCGAGAGCTCATTGAATATTATGCAATGAAATTAGAACCATAAAAAAAATGTTGAAATGGTGCATCGAATTCTCCTAAGAACTTCTGGAAATCTTGATTCCATGAAATGTGGCGTTAATCTGAAAAAAGCGACATTACTTTCGGAACGACCTAATAGTTCTCATTTATCAAAGTGCGAAGCAAGCAGGAAATCTTGAGCCTGGTCCCTCTTGTTTTGGAAATTTCGTCAAAACAATGTGAGGTAAAAACAGGAAAATATGGAAAGTTCTCTATATGACTCCAATTATGTTCGTTACTTTTTAAACTCAAACGTACCGCTTGCCCATCCAGTTTATATCCATTTCAAGCTTGACCGTTATCTTGCATTGTACGTGATCGTCACTGATATCCCATCGGTTGTTGCTCTTCCAAACATAACGATTTATTCTGGGGGCCCACTATTCCTAATGTTAGAGTTGTTACTTGAATATGAAGGTTTGTAGTGGTTACATAACGGTTACATGAAAAAATCTCTCTACCTTATTGTTGAATAATTTCAGCACATATAATTCATAGGTAGCTCATGTCAAGCTTGATCTTTCATCAGTTTCTTTCATGAGAGGGTTCTTACGAAGTACGAAGCCTTGCCTTTGTGATACTCATACAAATACCATGCAAATAATGATCACATTGTTCATCTTAGACTCCATTGTTCAAATCGATTAAAGACGAAGAAATATTTGATGTTTGTGATAATACAACCTAGTTGAGAAAGGACTTTTGCATTTGTTTTGGGGATGCTTTTAAAATACATGCTATGCAATAATCTGTCTTATTTTCAAATCTCATTTGAGGAAGTGTTCGTAGACAATCAGATCTGTTTCGTCAGGGGTTTCCATCTTGCCTTTGGGGAACGAGATATGCAATATTTTCATCGTCACTAGTAAACTTTTCCGTCCGTTATGAATGTTTTTCCAGGCGCCGTCGAGCTGAGTTGTTGCCTCGCGAAACTCTCGGTCATCAAGTCGGGCGAAGAGCACTCATCGCTAAAGAGAGTGATGTCAGAGTTGCCAACCAAATCAAAGCTCTCCTCCATTTCCTTCCGCCTATGCCGTCTGAAAATCCGCCTCGTCGAGTGCAAACTCAACCGGTACAGGCAAGGGCTCTATAATAATATTTTTATCTGTCGCTTGCTCTCAGTAGCTCATAAGTAATATGCATGAGCATTTCCCTTGTCTTACTTCTTGAATTCGCTGTTCAGTTGAGTGCTTCCGTCTCATATTTAGCGTTGCCCTTGGCGCAGTAGGTGCAAACTTTCTCTATGGCACAAGGTTTGTTTGTCATTTCATCAGTACAGTGATCTTGGACGTAGGATTGTAGATAGTTCTTACACGGTTTGTCCTCTTCTTCTGTTATGAAGCGGAGATTAATTTCATTTTTTGATGTAAAAATGCTGTGTAATACATGAATCGAGTACAACAATCTGGTATAAGTTTATTTCCGTTCGTCATCCTTTAATAAATATTTGTTTTCAAGGTCATAAATCTTCAGTCTCATTTATATCAGTTCTCAAAAACCGTCTTGTCTACTCTGATTGAAAGGAAAGGCGCACATATTTTAGGAACTTGAACCGGGTAATCCGAAGAATTACTAGTTTTTCTCGAATGATCCTTTAATGCATCAATGAAATGTTAAATACAATTTTTTTTCAAAATGCTCATGTTCGATTATTGAAATTTTTGCTTCTTCACTTTTTTGTATTTGCATTGTAAAAGTGTTTTTAACTAGGAAATTTTTACTAACCTCTCCATATGATGTTGCATATGACCGCGAAATGTGAAATTGTTGCGTCCTCATAATTTTCATACAAGTACAAATCGGTAAAAGATCTGAATCGCAGTGTTTGACTAATCCTTTTTTGCTTAATAATATATTCTTCTTTGGTGTTCCGAGAAGTTCTGAACGATAGGATTGAACCCAAAAGTAAGTGCCACTTCAGAAGATTCTGAATTTGCACCGCAAAGTTTTGAAAATAGGACAATAAAAATTCCGGGAGAAACCGTTCTGTAAGTTAGAAGCATCCATAATTTTCAATTCAAAAGATCTAGATTAGCGCCCTCGCGAATATTAGGTTGGAAACGATTTGCAACATCTTTCATAACTTTACTCTTTTTGGATGTGGCGCATTTATACTTTGGCAATATGTAGAGCGTAATGTGTGCGAATTTGAATACGAATTGGAAAAAACCAGGCATCTTTCGAAAACCTTTGAATTTTGGAAGTTTTTGGGGTTATAAGCCAAAATGAAGCCGTACGCAGCCTAGACCATGCGCAATCCGAAGTCGTATACGAGTAGTTGCTAGAGGTTGACTCAGTTTCCTCAGTTCCTCACAAAGTCAAACGCCTCGCTGTACGCAAGGCTGCTGGTGGACAACCGTCAATGACTAAGGAGTCAGAGTCAGAACCTTAAAAGTCGCCGAGACTTCACATAGGTTATTTGACGTGCCAAACACATCTAACATCCATTTGTTAGACGAGCGCCTATTTCCTTGATTAGGGTGACCCATATCGTAAAACTACAGTCATTTTATAAAATGTCTTTTATCACGCAACTTCAATGTCATTTTCGTGATCAGCATGTCGGATAATCCCCCTAATGACAAGTTTCAACCAAATCTGTCAAATTTTGTAATTTTTTTGTTTACACCATAGACCTACCGTAGCCTCAGTGCGATGTCAGAATTTGGCAAAACAGCAACTGCGCTCGTAGCTAACGTCATAACCAACACAATGGCAAAATTTGAGTGCGCCATGTTGAGACAGAGGAAAGTTACAAAATGAGTTGCGAAATTTAGTTTCCAACCGAATAAAATGCACAACTTGCAGTGAATTCATTCGTACAGCTATGCTCAAAAAGCATCGGAGAACCGGGTTATAATCCTCATACTATAACATTTAAAAAACCAAGATATTTAGTAGATTTGGGGTCACTTCTACATGACTTGACAAATAACTTGATTATTCAACCGAAATGTTCAAACTTTACCCCCTACATTTATCCTTGTTAACATATGGAAAGGAAGCTAGCAAAATCTTAGGGTTACACACGCCATGCATCTACCTTCTTGCACTTTTGCTGTCTTCAGACATTCGCTGAGCGCAATCAGTCCTCATTTCTCAGATCTTCGTCCTACGTTTCATCATCTCTTTACGAATGGATTCAAAATCAGAAGCGCCAGGGCAGCGTCCAGACTCGCCCATGTACCGCTGGTAAGCATTGTGTTAACGCCGTCGAACCCACTTGGCCGCGGCCCTTATTGATATATTACATATCTGGCACGTAGCTGAAACGGCATCGGCACAGGCAAGTCTGGACGCAGCCTAGGGAAGCACGCATTTATCTAACTTTGCTCCCAAAATTCAAACTAAAACCCATACTGTCGCCTTTTGCACCTTTCCCCTGTAAGTCTCGGTGTATGTGTTTTCCTCTTCAGTTGGCAAATGCAGTTTGTTACAATATCGACTATGGCTGGATGTGTGATGGTCATTTTCTGGCAGCAAAAACAGCGATAAAAACATTGAAACATTTATTGTCTGTCGTGAGCCGATGAACCACATTCACACAGTCGTGTCGGTTGTTGCCTTCGTCGGAGTGGGAGGTGGCTGCAGGGGCTCAAGCTGTCGGCTAGTCGAGAGAGGCGGTTCTTGCGCACTCGGCACTATCCGCCGGACCAGGGGGTGGCAGCCGGCGACCAACGACGACCCTTCGACCGACCGTTCGGGTTCATCGAAGGCGAATTGAGTCGATGGCAGCGACGGCAGCTTCTAGTGCGACTAATTCTAACCCGAAACGGCAATATATCTAGGCAGAGCATGTCGAGTCTTCGTCGTCGGTGGCCGACATCGCGAATCCACCCAGCTGCATATCACACTACGGAAACATCAATCACTACTGTACACAGGAGCAGGACGAGATCATCTTCGCTGAGATCGGACGAGGTGATCGGAAGGAGCGTCTTCAACGGAATAGGCGGGCGCCCGCCGCTCTAGCACACTATCTGGACAGCTTTACATCGACAGCGCACGGACCGGTAGATAGGAGAGAGTAGGGCTGAAACAGACAAATCCTGAGCATGCGGTAAAGTATAGCTGCAGGTTTCAAGCATGCGAAGAGATGTTTTTGTATAAGTTACACATGTGTTTTTGTCTTTCTAGCTTGCGACTGAGCTTCTTAGAGAAGAGGAATCTTACTCATTCTGAATCTGAACATCATTATTGAGATAGTTCACTAGAGAAAATTTTCAAAAAGCCAAGAATAGTTCGGTGCAAAGCTCCTTCTATTTTTGGACCTACCCACAACTCCTACTAAGGGAAAAATACTTCAAGCACGTTCTTTGCAGAATTTCTTTCTCCAGCAGCTATTCTCAACATGCGATCCTTCTTACGAGCGCTGTGATAAACGGAAGCTTACGATCCCTCCACACCATCTCTAACTTTCGCTAATTTTCAATATTTTCGTCTGAGATTCTGAAAGTGTTGTTTTGATGTTAGCTGACAGCGAGATTAGCTGATAAAGAGATTTGCAAATCAAAGCAATTTTTTGTATTTCTCTGGCGTAATTGCTAAAATATATTTTCTGAAGTGAAATTTTTTACCTATTCTGAATCCGTGAAACATAAATTGTAGACAGCAATTATTAATCGACGCAAATCTCTCTCTCTCCTTCTCTCTCTCTCTCACTCTCTCTTTTCTCTCTAACAGCTATCTTTTGAGGCGTTGTACGCAAAATTTGCAAGCAAAATCGCCGTATTTTTTTGATTTTATGATCGACCACAGACTTTGGAATCTTCACATTTTGCGCGATCGTTGATTCTGAAAGTTAGCGAGAGTTAGACATGGTAAAAATGAAGGTTTTAAGCTTGGCGTCTGACTCAGCGGTAGTCAGAAGAGTTGCACCAACATAGAAGAACATAGAAGCTGAAAGAAGAAATCCTGCGTCGAAAATGCTTGAAGCTTTTGTTTGTCTTTACTCTACAGGAGGATTGCGGGTAGGTCCAAAAAACAAAAAGACTTTTTGTCGTTCCAATGAACATCAATGAATTGAGTTCCAACTCCAAGAAGCTCCACAGTTTGCCAAGTACAAACACCATTTCACCCAACTTTATTGCAGCAAACAGAGTTCACTCACTGAACGAATGTTGCTTCGCTCAGTGCACAAGGGGTGCCTTGTCAGAGTCGAGCAGTCCAGTAGGTGAGGTCTTCTCGCCAGGCTGGACCTTTGCGATCTCTTCGAGCACAGGTACAGGACCACTAAATTCATTTGAAGACAGCATCTACGTAAGCGATGATAGAAGCTTGCCTGGAGTGTGACACAGACGGTTTTTCTTGTGGGTAAATGCGCACAGGCGGTTCGTTAGGGGAATTGTCCTCGCTTATAAAACCAGCAAGTCGTTTTGATCCGATACACGCAGCTATCGTTGGCACAAGTAGCGAAGCAGCAAGGAGGGTAGCACCGGAAGCGAATACACAGAATCCTGCAAACAACAGTATATGTGAATTTCTCAGACAACTGGCATTGAAGCAGTACCTGCCGTCTTCCAAATTCTCATTGGGTCACGTAGCATCTCTTGCAGTTTATCTTGTGGAACGTAGTAGCCGCCATCCTCGTCCTGAATGAATCTAATTTGATTGGTATCCCGCTTACAGCATTTTTCCATCGTAATTCTCAATTAGGAAACAGTGTTCCTGCGAAGATGAAAAATTGCAGGTTGTGTCGTCAAAAGCCAATCCAGTAATCCAGATATCATTCGAATTTGAGCTGTTAGCTACTCATTACCATACTCAGTGTATCAAACTTATAAAAAAGCGCGTGCTCATGATAGTCAGAGATGTTTTTCGGTAGGAGGAGAGAAGGGAAAACGACTGAAAATCTTTTCAATGAATTGTCGTGGCATTAGTTATGACTTTTGGGAAACTTCCCAGATAGCGAGCTGTGGGGCGACAGTTTACAAAGCTAATTTGAACCTAATTAAATGACTTGAATCTTCAATCGTTATTTGAGTTGTTCACGAGTAGCAAGTCATTTGCAGATTTTTACGACCCATGTACACCGTTTTTCTAAAACATCCATTTTGAGGGACGGGGAGGGGTGTAGGGCGTTAGGCGACAGACCCAATTTCTTGTACCCCCAAAAATCCCCGTGGAAAACGCCTTCGGCGACAAAAACAGGGGGTGGGAATCGGGGCCGTTACATAACTTTACGCCATTCAAAAAAAGCACATAGTTGTGAGTACGAGCATTACGCTGCTTGCGTTAGATTATTTGAAGATTGATAACAGTTCGTCATTCAATATCTTATCTCCACTTCCATTAAAAATGACTATTGTTAGCATACCCACAACACTATAGCACGACTCGACTTCATTCTTTTACATGCTTGAATTTCTACGATCAAGGCGATTAATGATTGGGTTCTTGCAGCTTCCATTTCCAACAAACACTTGTTAATCTCTCAGTAGTTCTCTATTTCTATTCCTCTAATCTCTATTAGTCATTTTACGATCAGTGGCCGTATTCATCACTGATACCTGGAGGTAAATCCTACCTCCAGGTAGTTTTATCACTCATAATCAGCAGAATTACATTGAGAATCTACCACAAGGTACTTTGTGAATACTTGCTGATAATGAGTGATAAAACTACCTGGAGGTAGAATTTACCTCAAGGTATCAATGATGAATACGGCCACAGGACGTAATCGCTTAACTCATTCATATAAAATCTGCTAATGAGCAGAATCATAAAGATTTGCGCATTGTTCTATTTCAGGAGAATCGCTGCTAATTTAGGCGAATGCATTAGCTGTCACAAATTAGTTTGAAAATAAAAATTGGAGAAGTAAACTTCTTCCAATCACTGCAATAGCCATCAATATTGACCATAAGATTGACCGTCTGATAAAAAAAACTATATCTCTTCAGCAGTTTTCTAATATGTAGTGTGCTGCAGATGAACTTCACTCAGTTTGCATATATAGGGTGCGGAAAAAGTACTGTCCCTCAGTTTGCCTCCTAAAAAATCTCACAGATGGTGAAAATCTATAGTTTTTTGCTTTCTACACATAGGCTAGACTATGCAGATTTTCGAATACATAAGTTTAATTTGGGACGGTTTTCTTCTGTTTATTTAAACGAGTGATAACAGCGAGCAGCATCAACGACGATGCACCGCAGCGTTAGGGCGCAATTTTGGACCGCAACTATACCACCAAGAGGGTATCAATTTCAAATTAAGGCAGTGTGTAGAGCATAATCCCTTCTCCAAAACTCTGTAGTTGTTATGGATCAGTGACCTGAAATTTTGGCTAAACAAGGCAAATTAAATTCCAAGCGAATTTGAAAAATTCACGAAAAGAGGCTAATCAGATTTGCTCTTGCTCAATGAATTGGATCCAAACCATGGTTTGAAATTCCAGATTCAAACAAACAATAACAGGAATGATGAAAAGAACATCGGGCTTTGTCTACATCATGTTTTGAGTCAGTAAACGATGTACGTAGTTCCTGTGCCACGTTTTCTGATCGCACCCTGCTGCGCCGCAGACGCTACTTTGTTGGAAAATTTCCCAACTTTTTTCCTACTGCGACTGCGGTCTAGCTGCTTCCAGCATATTTCGAAGACACTACAACATTCCTTAAGCAATAGAAGATTTCTCAAATTCACGTTGAAAACAAAAGAATTTTCCAAAAACTTCACACTTCCTTCACATTTGTAAAAAAGAGTTGCAAGACTTGATATGGGTGCGCTGCGGAATGGGATCCACCGCCGGGTGAGATTGCAGAAATTTTGAGTCAGTTTTTGTAAAATGCTAAAGTACATTCACTTCTCAGGGCTTGTGTCAAATTTGCCAGAAAAACCTGGGAGTTATTCCGATTTTTTTGCTTTTATTTTGAGGGACAGTACTTTTTCCGCACCCTTTACTACACCTAGTGCTCAGGCATTTCGTATATAGTCAATGACGGGAAATTCTAATTGTTATTCGTTCGTGAGTACTACAAATCAACTGGGCGCCATCGAAAACAAGCAGTCCTCGAGGGAGGTATAGATTAGACCACAAGGGTGGAGTACGTTACTTCATGTCGCCATACATAGTTGAGTGCAGGAAAGGCGCTTGAAAAAAAGCCCCTGGGTTTTGGGATGCATGTCGCCTCTCTGAATCGATGTTTGCTCGTATGGAAGCACATCGAGCGTAGAAATTTAATAGCGAGACTGAGATTGAGATTGCAAACGTACAAACAAGGAGATTATTCGGCGAAATAAAAGCGCAGCTCGAATTTTGGATAGGATCTGCGTCGGAGAAGATCTTTTTTGGCCAACGAGTTATGAACTACTATAGAACAGCTATCTTTTTGATCATATTTATCATTTTGCCGATCGTAGGCATGAATTCGCAAGAAGGTTGAGATAGATCATTACTAGAAGTCAAAATCTCCAAATAAACAATTGGTCAAGTTGTCTTACAAAATCAAATAAAGCAGAATCAATTAAGTCTTCATCAAAAATATTTCGCTCCGTTAGAAGACCATTGAAATACATGGAAGAACATTTCATTCTCTCCTTCAAAAAAAGAGAAGGGCTAATTCCACGGTTTATGCACAAGCATGAGAATTTCTTACCTCTTGCAATTACGCCCTCCAGACTCGCTCAAATGTGAAAGACCTCAAAAACAGCTTTTTAATCGAGAAATAAGACTACAGAAAAGTCCAATGTACTGGGCGCAATTTCCTTTACTCGCCAAGCAGGCAAAACTTCCACTTATTCGTGGTAGCTACCCCTGCGCTTGCATACGTAGAATAAAAGCGTAAAGCAAAGATACGGTAAACATGATTGCTACTTAGCTTCTTAACAACGTATTCAGAGACTGAACTGCTGCTCGTTTTGACCTTCCGCTTTTTAGGAGTAAAGGTCTGGCAGTACCTCCACGAATGGAAAACCTAGTGTGGTACCTTCATAAAGTCTGCGATAAATTTTTGAGCGCATGTCAGTGAAATTGATTTGTAGGCGAGGGATTATTATGCATAATTGTTTCGTTTTCGAACAGCAGTGCTTGTTTTGGCGAACAATTAGAGTAATCAATCCTGATAGCTCTTCTTCTTCCCAAGTGACCCACAAATTTTCTCTGGGAACATAGGTCTGGCTCAGTGGAGATCCCAGGATTTCCGCACGGCGGGCGCGACAACTTTTTTCAAATGAAGGTGCTGTAGTGACGCAGTCGAAAAAATTTTGGGGTGCTTCGAAAAAATTTTGCGGACCCAAAACCCTAAAATATAGGAAAAGAAGTCGTGGCTGCCGCCCCCCCCCCCCGCCCCGGAAAATCTTTTTACGAGATTGATTTTGATCGCTAGAATATTTTTCAGATTAATTCAATATATTCACATTCAATCATTATTTTACTTTGTTTTATTCACGAGAATAAAAAGTCAAGTTCATTTGAGTAAAAATTCAACTGCAAGATTAGTATAAAATCAGTCCGTACCCTTTTTCTAACGTTCAAATGAGGCATCAACGAATTGGTATATTTAAATCAAGAATATTTGTTGCACCGAGTGGTCCGACTACCAGTCAAGTCCTAGAAAAAATGTTACGACTAATTTTACGATCATCTTGCATTTAACTATTTACTCACAAAAACCTTCATAATTCCTTTCTCAGAAGCCCGCAGCAGATAGCCAAGGCAGCTTTGGAATTAGAATTCCAATCTATACAAGACAGCATTAACTCATTTTAAAAGGTCACTTCGACCAACCTTCCCTCCCTTGTTAGGCATTTTTGAAAACATTTCAAATTCATCTTAGTGTCTATGAAAATCAAAGGCGCATGGCTCATGATCCAGTTTTTGAACAAAAAACTTGGGAGAGGCTCGGACTAGGGAGCGACCGTTTAAAGCTCTAATCGATGCGGAATTTTTTGGCTACGTTTTTGCAAAGTGCATCTTATCCAAGCAGATTTTAGCGAGAAAGAAGAAAAACGGTGCAAAGTGAGAAAGAAACATTTCCGCTCACCTCATAGATGACAATCTTGTAAATGCTCTGTTCAACTCCTTCGTGAGGCCAGGTGTAGCCGACAACGATTGCGACAGCTCCACCGATCAGCAGTAGCAGTCCGAGGATGGTGCATAGACGACAGATAAAGAGCCCTCTTCGCTGAGCTGGTGGCGGAGGAAGCAGATACCTGCGTAGAAGATTTTGTGCAAAACATCTCAGAAATTCATTGGTTTATTTATAAGTTGGTGGATTACGTCACCGTACACACGTTTATCATTGAGAAGCAAGTGAGTGAATTCATTGCAGTAACTTTTGCTTAACATTTGAGAAATTTCTGTTGCATTTTTGCATCCGACATTCTGAATAGGTGCAGAGTACACTTGAACATTGTTTTTGTCTTTTTTTCTCTTATTCAGCGTCATATTTTGTCCCTAGCTTCATTCAAATCAACACAACATATCATAAAACTAGAACTTCTTTTATGAGAATATCGAAGCTTCTAGATCCCTTTGAATTTGCTGATAATCAATGGGTATGCATTTTATAGAAGCATTTCAACCATCGGGTGAACTAAAACTTCACACTCCACTTCTAGTGGCTTTCATGAGATAACAACCTGGAATTTACAAGCCAGTTTGATATCTTAAGCAAGAAAAAAGCGCTTGTTTCTAGCCGCTCACATCCATGCTTAGATTCAAGAATTTCACTAAAATAAAACCTATAAAGTATAGACCTTCGTACTACGACGAATAAATATAGGTATGACTTGGTCGTCAAGCAATCAGCGACGCTGTAATGACTCTCATTTATGGATGCGAAGAACAAATGTTAGGAAACGTTATCGGGTAGCATAAAAGCAAAACATTGGTTGAACCGTACAATTCTGGGACATTCTAGGACAAAAAGGCACTCGAAGAAGAATCTGCTCCACTACATCTGATATGTTATGAAATGAGCAAAAATTTTTAAAACAGAGAAAACCAATGAGAAGAAAGCTGGCTTTTTTTTCATTTTCACTTACCATGCTCCTCCACTCTGTTCGATGTCTTCTACAGTTGGAGATAGGTAGAAATTGTGCAAGTAGCTGCGAATGCCGAAACCGCGGGGTGCCGATACCTGAACAGGAATCATCAAAATTTGAGCCCTACCATTACAACATGCCCTCCCCCTCTCCCTCACCCCCCCCCCCCCCCGTCTTTTTCAGTTCCCACAATCAGTCCGAAAGGAGTGAGCAATGCAATGGCAAACAAACCTCATCAACGAGAGCTGTCGGTTTTGCCCCGGGCGGCGAAAGCTTCTCTTTCTTGCCGCCAGAACCCAATCGGAAGCCCGTCATGCGCACATCCGAAGAGATACTCTGTGACCTGCAAGCAGTAGAACGTGTCAATCAAATTATTTTCTGCTTTGCCGAGATAGGAAATTATAGAACGTTCATCCAAGGCAAACAAAATCAAATCGTTCAACAACATATCAGTGCAATTGTTGAAAGGAATAGATGAATAAAATCAAAAATTTGAATGAAAACGTTAGACGTCACTCAGCGATCGTCGCAGCATCATACGCAAAATACCATATAAGATATTAAAAAGCCCGAAATCAGGTATTTGAAGAGAGCAAACTATATCATGAGCCACTGGATAACTGTGGAAATTTTTTTTCGGGCGCTACAAAAAATTTTTTGAATGTAAAGGCGTGCCATAGCCACGCTTTCCGAGAAATTTTTTGGAATGTCCCAACTTTTTTCGGCCTATAACCTAGAAACTCTCGAAGAGTGTGGCTGGATCATGCCCCGATTTTTTTTAAAAGCTTGCTGGAATTTTTGAGAAGTGTTTTATTCAATAACAAGTGAAAACAAGTTCTTGCACAATTCTGTAGTCCATGTACTCTACTTCAAAAAATTATTACCCACAGTCGGAGGCAAAATGGGGAGAGAGCGCGTGGGTTCGGTTTCTCTTGAACGTGCAATTATTCTGTTAAGACTCTTTCCGGACCCCTGAAAGATATTTTTGGCAACAACACATTAAAATAAGCGTACACTTTATGCTATGCACGAATTACATCCCAGAATCAAATCTACTCCAGAGTGTCTGCTACGTCTTGATAAAGTATGTATGTTTGTATCACTTTTTGAATTTCACCCTTGCAATTACGTCATGAAAAGATGGAGAGAGGCTAAGAAGTTGAAAAGGTAAGTAGGCATAACAAGACAAGACAGAAATTAACGTCGTTAAGCTGGATACAACCTTTAACGTCCGACTTTAGCTACAGCAAAATTTCGATCTGAACACTAAGGTTAGCCGCAATGCTATATGCATTTGCATTTTTCAATAATAGCAGAAGGTAGCTATTACTTTTGACAGCTGTCTGAACACATATTGAAAAGTGATGTTGTACATTTCCTTAGTTACAAAAGGTACTATTGAAGAGGAAAAGAGACATCACTTCATAGCCGCAGTGGCGCGATTACCTGGAAACGCTATAAAATCGCGTAATACTGAGCTTAGGACGTTGTCATAGCAGCAATGAACAGAAGAGTGAGTGACAGATAATTTTGCTTTGTGCATTTTATGGTCGGAGTTGAGTGGAGGCGAGCTGTCGTGTAAAGCTGTGACGTTGGTTAGTTTACGATCTCGGTAACTAACGCTAAATTTTCTGCACCAAAGAGGTATCGCTACCCCAAAATCGGATAAGCAGTAAGTGTCGAGCAATTTATAATATTATAGAAAGTACATGGCAAGCGGAACTGGCCAAATATCAAACAACCATTGCAATTTGATAATTAAGCAGTTGAGAGTGAACTTTCAATATATGAATCCATAGTGCATATTCAAAGATATATGGAAGAAAACATTTTGGTACAACGATTTGTGTGGAGTGATGGTGATGAAAAAACAGCAGTTTCCCATTCATTTAGGTTGTCTAATCTGTGTATTAGAAGAAAGTGAAGCTCATCCATCCTGACGTCAAATAAAGGGCTAACAAAATTCGCCTGCTCTTTCTCAAAAATCAAAATTCGATTGAAATGGTTGAAATGGGTGGAAAAAAACCTAGAAAGTTCCTTTTCAAATAAATTGTTGGTTAGGAGTGGGTATGTCTTGTAGTTTGCTAATCTTGTCAGCTATGCTTCTACCAATTTTTTGACAACCCCACGGAGATTTAAAAATAAGGGTTGCATTCTATCAGGATTCACCACATTCCATGCAAAGTGTTCCCAATTTCTCTGGTAATGCGTGATAAAATGACGTTACTTTCACAGCAAAATACCTGAAAAATTTATAGTTATGTATCATGCATCGCAGTAATTCCTGAAGCCAAAAGTGACGACGTGAAGCGAAAACACATCACGGCCAGCCGGCTCTCACATTATTTGAAAGGATTTGGTCCGCATCGCGCTCCGCAGTTGAGTGGTCACCGTCATTGCCATGCTCACTGCTGTCACTCATTTTGCCCGAGGGGATAAAGCTATGGTGCAATCAATGTAAATATGTCTATAATTTACGACTTACTGCCACAAGGCTGCAATATGAATCCCAGATGAGAAAAGGTATAGTCACCAACGCTTAGCTGTAGCTACGAAGCGCAGCCTGGTGCAAATTTGATCAATTGGGAAACTATTATATTTCCAAAGAAAGTCGGAAAGAATAACTGATGCCGGATTGAGCAAATTACAAATTATTCTAGGAGAGTTTTTAGAGTCAGTCATACTAGATCAAAACTAACCTGGGATCTCAAAAATGATTTTTGCAAACGCGGTACTACACCATCACCACTGAGATTTAACAACAGTAAAGTTAAAACTGATCGTGTTTTGAATGTGAGTAGTACACCTTCTTTTTTGACTACCACCATCACGACATCACCTGCTGACCTTCGTTGACTGTAGCCTTCTGGTAAAATATTAGCTTACAGAAAATATTTTCGGACATTCGAGCAATTTGAATGGTAGTCAAGACATGCGCTATATCTTCCGATAAAAACTACTGAAGAGAAAAACTAGAGAAGAACTGAATCACAAAACAGTTTCAAGAGTATCAACAATGAAAGACAAAGATACTGAAACAGTGACGTATTGAATAAGTAGAAAAGTCCAGAAAAGCAGGGCATATGCAAGCTCAGAACACGAGCTGTGTAGATTACGAAGCTAGAAACCAAAAATAGCTTGAATTTGAAAAGCTCCGACTTCGTCGACCGTAGGTAAGGGTATTTGTCGATTCAATGCAATTTCATTGTTTTACTGATTTCTAAGAGTAGCGAGTATTTACGAAAACATTCTTGACAACTTGGTATCAATATCCTGCACGATTATCAAAGTAAAACCACAAGAATTTCTTTTATTTTGCTTGTTGAAGCCCCATCCACAAATCTACCCAACATAGTCGTGTTTGTGATTCGCATCTCACCGTCATTAGTGTTAGTGGTCGCACATGCCTCATTCAGATTCAGACTAAGTCCAATTAAGGCGGAGACGAGGGACGAGCGAGATTAGCTGGTCGCCTCTGGGCACTAGCAAATACAATTATCGTGTTCTATGCTATGCAAACAAGGCGAAGAACAAAAAACTGAGGGACGCGCGGTATTGCGAGGATAGTTAGGAAGGCTAAAATCCGCAATTGCAGCCTATCCTAAGAAAAACTAGCCAATAGCAAGCCAGCAATATAGCTTATGTGGTCCCACTCTCTATAGACTACTACGTGTAAATGATACTTTTAATTATTTGTTTTAATTGTTTAGCTATTTAAGCACTCATAAGTGCGCTAAAATGTAGATTGAGAAATGAGCGTTGATGGCCTGAACAGCTTCTGCCTCCAGCTTTGTGAAGTACAATATAAAACTACGTCTTCAGGATAGTCACGTCCCTTTTGAATACTCTTTTCTCCCATATAAGCTATATGGACCAATAATAGCAAGGACTTGTTTGCCTTCACTATAAAAATCTATAAAAATATTGTTTCTTGAAGAGAAGACAAATCAACGATCCAACCCGAATGGCTTAACTCGGTCTGCCTTAGAGATTTTGGGATAAGGTTGTAGAGTAAATGATAAGCATCTAGAATCGTCTTTGCCTCCAGACATGCCTCTCCCATTTGAGAAATAATGCAATCGGGAAAAAACATCGTTGTCACCAAACAACCTGTGATGAATTCATGCAGAGTCCCAAAAAGCAAAAAAAGTGTCTTTGAAATTTGGCTCATTTCTTGACGACAGAAGGTTTAGATAACCTATGGGACATTTTCAAAATTCTGATGAGTTTCATCAGTCTCACCGTAGCGATTACTTCCTCAACTGATAATGCTGGCAAGAACTCAAAGTCTATAGAGTTACTACTAAAACTACCCTTTAAGCATGACTCTCGGAAACAGTATGAATTTCAAGAAAACCCTATAACTCCTGTGAGACATCGTTAATCCATATCGTCGTTAGTAAGTGAGAGTTATCAGTTCAAAATAAGGTTTTGATTATCCTGATTCTTTATGGTGATGAATTTTCCATAAAAATCTATTTAACTACCCCATTTGACATGATTTTTTCATTTTGAATCAGCTAACGTTGGGTCTCAAGATAGATGAATCTACAACTCCCGCGCTGTGTGACAACTCAAGCGGTAGATACGGAGCCATGAATAAGTAGCTACTTGTAAACAGAAAGTACGTGCAGATTCGATCTTTTGTGAATGCGACATGTATGTGCCATAGAGAAGAGAATACGAGGTAGTATAAGCGAGAGAGGAAGTGCGTGCACTAGATTCTTAAAGGAAAGGTGATTCAGGGGACACTGAGCAGTGTATCTTTCCAAGTAATTAGTGCTTCGGGAAAGTTTGCTTGTCCTGAACGTAGAGAGCCCCCTGTCACTCGGTTCTAGATTCTGAATCGATGCATGAGACGGCGAAGAAAATAAGATGCAACTACCTCAGACAATTCACCGGAACTTCGCAGGACAAGCAAAATTTGGTATACCAGGCATTTATGCGATGGCTGGCTTAGAACTGTTTGAAAGCCGAGTTGAATCTGAAATTTGCACTTATAAGGGAGGTCCGACGTGGCCTTTCCAAATGAGTCTTATACCACTTTGAAGAGCATCAAACGGTGACTCCAAGTCTGATTTTATTATTTGCCGAGTGCCTCTGCATGCCGAGTTATGAATATTTCCTTGGTGCGAAAAATATTTAGGTACAATTAGATTCTACGATCTTTTCAGCGCTCAAAGGAGCAGTGTTGAGCATGAGTGTGCTGGACAAAAGGTATTCTTCAAATGGAGTGTTCTAATAATCAACTTCAAACAATTTGAGCGACTCTGACAAATTTTGTTACAATTATGCATTCAATTTTTCAACTCAAAAACGCTCATAGCTCGACGTCCACAGGCGCTCAGAGATAACGAAGA